ATGTAGTCCACCCAGTGGTAAACTAAGACATGTAGTCCACCCAGTGGTAAACTGAGATATGTAGTCAACCCAGTGGTAAAATAAGACACGTAGTCCACCCAGTGGTAAACTAGGACATGTAGTCCACCCAGTGGTAAACCAGGACACTTAGTCCACCCAGTGGTAAACTTGGACATGTAGTCTACCCAGTGGTAAACAAGGTCACGAAGTCCACCAGTGGTAAACTAGGACACGAATTCCACCCAGTGGTAAACAAGGACACATAGTCCACCCAATGGTAAACAAGGACACATAGTCCACCCAGTCGTAAACTAGGACACAAAGTCCACCCAGTGGTAAACCAGGACACGTAGTCTATCATGTGGTAAACCAACCCACAGAGTCCACCCAGTGGTAAACCAGGACACTTAGTCCACCCAGTGGTAAACTAAGACATGTAGTCCACCCAGTGGTAAACCAGGACACTTAGTCCACCCAGTGGTAAACTAGGACATGTAGTCCTGTGGTAAACCAGGACACAGTGGTAGCCCAGGCTTTGTAGCTGGCATGGTCAATACTTGCTTTGTACTTTGTGATTAACCCTTTTTACCACTGTAGACCCTAATGGACTCCTCCAGATCAATGTATGGTAGGGTCTACTAAAGTTACCTAGGGGTGAAAGGGTTAAGGTCATTGAGCTTACTACATACTTTTGAACCCCTTCAGTATGTGATGCAGGTACACTTGAGTTTCATCAAGGTATCTTTCACAGTTCAAAAGTTATGGCATGGACAAGATTTCACTTATTTGACCTTTGACCTTAAGATGAAGGTCATTGAGATATAGTTACAGTGCATTGTACACATTCAGTCAGTGCTAGTTAGACTGAGTTAAAGTTACAAATTCATCAAAACATCTTTTTACAGTTTTAAAGTTATAGTCCAGACCAAATTTCGCATTTTGCACCTTTGATCTGGGGTCAATTCTTCAGTTACCTAACAAGAGGCCCAGAGGGCCTTATCGCTCACCTGGATATCTAATCAATCATGGCAAAATATTCTCCAAATGAGATCCAAGGGAATATGCCAGACCCAAAGGCCAATCCTTGTAGCATATCTGTATTGGATTTTTTATGCCCAGCAATTTAATGTATGGTTATGGGGTGGGTATCTCAACAGCTTCCAAGTTGTGACTAAGAAACTACCGTAAAAACCCATGTAATTTGCGCTCCCATGTAATTTGCGCAGGTACTTTTTTAGGCTGAAAATCGGGAAAAAGGCTTCTACTCGAATATTTTGCGCACCCAAAAAATCTGGGAAAAAAACGATGTTCATGCTCCGAAAATCGATCTCTGAATATATTTTTTTTAAATATATTTCTATGATTTTTTTTCATTGATGTAAAATGATATTTAAAACCAAGAGGAAACTACGTAAAATGTGTATTTTGTTGCTTGTTTTCTTTGAATTATCTGATCACACATGACACACACGTGTGCGCATATCGGCATACATCAATTCATTTTAGCAATATTTTACATAAAACATTTACTTGCTTACAAAAACATATCAATTAATGAGTAATTCGATGTTTAGTAACCGCTGGTGCATATCTCCTGGTGAAAGACATAATTAGATACCTTTTATTGATCATAATTACGATCAGTGAGAAGGGCTCATCATGGCGACTTGGGTTACGTCACTTCAAAACAGGTCATTTCACAGTTCAGTTTGGCCACGGAATTAGACGGTAGGTCCCTAGGGTTGTGGCCAGACCCCAAGATCAATTCTAATATCATGACTGCATTCGTCTCTTTATGCCCAACAATTGTATATATATAGTTTTGGGGTGGGGATCTTAACCATTTCAATGTTATGACCCAGGGACTATGTCTCCAAGGATGGGGCCAAACCCTAGGGCCCTCCTGGAAGCAAATGTGCATTCTTCTCTTTACACTCAGCAATTGTATATATGGTTATACGGTAGGGATCTCAACCATTTTCAAGTAATACACTTTTTTGGGCCCCACCCCTTAGCCAGGGAGTTTGCCCCACCATTTGTACAATTTTGAATCTCCACCACCTAGGGATGCTTCCTGTCAAATATGGTTGATATCCATCTCTTTCTTCCAGAGAAGAGATGCTTAAAGCAGTATAGCCAAAGTCAGCCACACCATTTGTACAATTTTGAATACTTGCCTCCAATAAATGCTTTCGATCAAATATGATTGATATCCAGTGCACAGTTCTACAGAAGTCATTTGNCTACCTAGGGATGCTTCCAGTCAAATATAGTTGATATCCATCACTTAGTTCCAGAAAAGAAATCGCTTAAAGCAATATAGCCAAATTTCCCACTTTTGGCCCTGCCCCTCAGCCCCACCATTTGTACAATTTTTAATCTCCACCACCTAGGAATGCTTCCAGTCAAATATGGTTGATATCCATCTCTTAGTTCCACCCCTCAGCCCCCTGGGGGGTCAGCCAAACCATTTGTACAATTATGAATCCCTGCCTCCCAAGAATGCTTTTGATCAAATATGATTGATAACCAGTGCATAGTTCTATAGAGGTTGTTGGTAGCAATATAGCCAAATTACCCACTTTTGGCCCCACCCCTCAGCCTCCTGGGGGGTCAGCCCCACCATTTGTACAATTTTGAATTACCGCTACCTAGGGATGCTTCCAGCCAAATATGGTTGATATCCATCACTTAGTTCCAGAAAAGAAATCGCTTAAAGCAATATAGCCAAATTGCCCACTTTTGGCCCTGCCCCTCAGACCCACCATTTGTACAATTTTTAATCTCCACCACCTAGGAATGCTTCCAGTCAAATATGGTTGAAATCCATCTCTTAGTTCCACCCCTCAGCCCCCTGGGGGGCCAGCCAAACCATTTGTACAATTATGAATCCCTGCCTCCCAAGAATGCTTTTGATCAAATATGATTGATAACCAGTGCATAGTTCTATAGAAGAAGTTGTTGGTAGCAATATAGCCAAATTACCCACTTTTGGCCCCACCCCTCAGCCTCCTGGGGGGTCAGCCCCACCATTTGTACAATTTTGAATCCCCACCACCTAGGGATGCTTCCAGTCAAATATGGTTGATATCCACTTCTTAGTTCCAGAGAAGAAGTCGCTTTAACTCATTCACCCCTGAAATTTCATAATGAACTATTCCAACCTTTGAATTGGAGGAGTTCAAATGTGTCTTCAGGGGTGAATGAGTTAAAGCAATATAGCCAAATTGAGTTGAATTCCAATCAGTGGTTAAGAAAAAGAAATTGTTGACGAACGGTATGGCCGAAGGACCAAGGTGAGCTAATAACAGTGCAGTGCACACCTCATTGGGGTATTGCAGCTATGGTTCAATGGTCAAGGCAAGATTATATAAGAGAATCCAGTACCAATACAATGTCTCCCTTATCCTTATTCCAGGCATCTTGCTTATTCAAAAGTTTTGAACATATCTTGCCCCTATGACCTGTAAACTTAAAAGTGGGCCAAGGGAAATTCATTTTAACAAACTTGATCAGCCTTCATCCAAGAATACTGGCTAACTTTCATAACCCTAGGACTCTTGGTTATTTATTTAAAAGTTTTAACACATTTGACCCATTAACTTAAACACGAGTCAAAATCATTCAAACTTGATAGCATTTCATCAATTGTTACAACAGCAAAATATCATAAGCACAGGCCTCTTGGTTATTCAGGGTATCACATTTTACCCTTATGACTTAAAAGTGGGTCAAGGTAATTCATTCAAGCAAACTGATTTGAGAAATTTGTTCAAGGAAAGTACTGAAGGACATACAAAGGTTTGACAGACCACAGAGACAGCACCACCACATAAACTCATCGGCACTTTGGTGCCAGGGGAGCTAAAAAAACATCAAAACAAGCTCATAAGATTTCATATTCTGGTATTTTATTTTATCATTTTCTCAAATATTCTGTACAAATATAATGCTTCATTCTGACTCGCACACAACCCACATTAATAACATGTTTACATCTTTAATAAATTAAAATGGTTCAGCTTCCATGCAACAGTGTGAATTACTAGTGCCTTGACTACACACGTAATACCTGGCCATACACAGAAGTAAACAATGACACACCGAGACTACCCATGTTAAACATGAGAGTCAACAAGTGACAGGTATGGATTAATGGAAACTGAATCACACACATAACAGACAGGAGGGGCATACTATACCAAATTGTAAAATATTTGTTAATTTATGATATAGTTAGATTATCACTTCCTTTTTGAAACAATCAGAAATTTTGAAATTAAGCAAAATGATTACAACCAACTTGTTCTGCCATTTTGAAATGAATAACCTTTCTGGTCATTTACAACAAAGCATCAGATCAAAGGGCTTCATGTTGAAACATCACTTTGCATATCAATAATTTTACCATAAAAATTTCAATCTGAGTGATCGTCAAGGGAGATAACTACAGAATGATCAGTTTATAGGGACTGGATATAGTAATGACAGTCCAAGAAACAATCACAACACGAAGCTGTCTAAGAAAGTCTTTCATAGTCTGATAAACCCGGACTTGAGTTTTCTTAAAATCTGTTACCATTTGTCTACATTTCATTTTGAATACATGAATACAAATTATTTTTTTAAATATCAAATAGTTAAATGAAACTTCATTTTATAATTATCTTGGTTTAAAAAGATATTTTAAATGCAGATTAAAAGAAAAATATTTCAACATAAAAGTTAGGATCAATTTAAACGGCACAAATTTCTAATAAATATTAGAATTTACTTTTTTACTCATGATAATGAGAGCCGATAACTAGTGCATGCAGGCATATATATAAAATACTAGGTTGTGACATTCTGGTTAACAGGGTGGGATTTGGGCATGACACATTTAAATTCTTTCAGAGATTAACATCTCATTACTCTAATAAATATTCAATTACATAAGGTAAAATTGGGAAAAAAACAACCATTTTAATTCTTTATACATATTTTCTGTAAAAATGCACATGTATGAAATTTCGAAAATGTGAAAAATGAAGCAGTAAATTTAAATTGTATATCAAAAATTATAATAATACATCATGTAAAACTTCAGTGTCATACCTATATATATCTACAACCTTTTTAGTGTGAAATCGTCAATGTGAAAAATGACATTCTTTGTGACAAAAATACTAATGTTAATATCATTGAGTATTGGGTATCCAACATTTAAAGAAAATCTTCATACTGTTTCTATCAAATGTTGTCATATGCTTTTAATATTTTATACCTGAGACCATCTTGTTTTCAACAACAGTTGTAGCAGTATGTGTTTTTAAGACATTTTTTACAGCAGTTTTCAAACTTGTTAAGATTTTTTTTATCAATTACTGATATTCTCATATATAAAGTAACTGTGCATGCTCAACAAATATTTTTCTTTGCTCTAGCTTACTTCAATCAGTTCATGATCGTTGTTTTATCAGATTTAGAATTCAATGATTCTACCTTGCACAGTAAACATATTGCCAACAAATTAATACAAATATCATGTGTTAAAGATTGGAAATGATTTTTGCCATTTTTTCTCACCTGTAATTATATTAAGTAGTGATAATTTCACCCTATATAGGAACTTAACCTATACTTTCCCTTATATCATCACACAGAAAACATACATACAGGTACTGCACAACAAATTTTGATGATAATTCAGGTAAACAGATAAATTAATTTGTGACTTTTCAATATTACAAAGCAAACATATACACTGTAACATTTTAAGTGCCAGAACATTTGATTTGTTTAATTTATGGCTATTGTGGAAGTCAAAGTATAAAATACTACATTATTGAAAACCAAGTGTGGTTTTATTTCAAGGTATAGGAATATATTTTTAAATAGACCAAATCAAAGATTAATACCATACAATACGACTGTGATACAGATTTGTGACACAAAATTGGATTTCTTGGGCATACATATATATATATATACTAGTGATATTTACGTGTAAAATGTCTAACGCTTAGCTAACAGCACCTAGACGAGGAAATACCACAACTGACTGGCCTATCGACGAGGAGTAACCACAACACACTTGGCCTACAGGGCATTTACACCAACCACATGTACGCTCCACACACACATTTATACCCTCACACAATCTCTAGTCACCCAGGTTTGTTTGGTTATAAATTAACCACATACAAAAGCACTTGAGAATTAACAACTTTTGAAATTATTCACTATAGCAATATGTTGTTAAGTTTTCTTTTTAATTTGAATTTAAACATAATCAAAATTTCAATATTCAAATATATGCTGTTAAGTTTTTTCAATTTCGTATTTTAAACATAACCAATATTTTAATTTTCTAAGTATCAATGGTGTGCTGTTACTTTAAAATCTGTTTCTGAATTGGTTTCATCCCAAAAGACAACAAATCCATGTTAAATTTCTATAGAAGTCAGACTCTGATAACATCTAGTATTGACCTCCATTGTGCCAGACAGGACCCCAAGAAGACCAGGGTCTAACACTTCAATGACGACAGGAAGACCTGGGTCTAACACTTCAATGACCTGGTTCTAACACCTTACTTGATCACTTCCGGTCATTATGTATTTCATCCACTCTATGGGTCCAGTCTTTGTTTTATAGAACCTCCACATCATGGAACACTATACCTTTATACTCAATTACTTCAGTGTAATAAATTAAAATGACAACTGAAACCATACGACACTAAGTAAGATTAGATTTATCAGAACGTTTTGACGAAGATTCAATGCATATACTATTGTATATCATGTTTCCTAAACAAAGAAACAGTAAATATATTCAATTTTAGAAAAAAACAAAAACTTTTCATGTCAAGGTCATTGCATTCCATATCGGTCAACGAAGGTGTGATGTGGTCATTCTATAGAACAAGGATGTGACATTCACACACAAAATTGCAATCATAAACCGGTTACGTTTCCGATATGTTATTACCGCGATTCACACAGAGTACACTCTCACATACAATCCTACACTGGTTACGTTCCCCTTATAAGTACTGTGAGTCACACAGTACAGTACACTTTCACAAACAATCGTCTAACACACTAACTTTATACACTGTAATAATTAAGTCTACAAAACAAAAACGCTCACATGGAACAATGGATTTGCATGAGGTATGTTCCGTCTGATTATTTACAATGAGAACAAAATTTGTACACATTGCAAGCTTTAAAACATTATTGGCTATACAAAATAGTATGATACAATTCCGTACACAAGTAATCGAGAGATGGGAAATAGGCCTTAAACCTTGAGGCTGTATCATAAATAGGTTTCAATAAATGAACAATGCCATTTTAAAACCGGTAGATGCATTACATAGCACCTATACTGAATAAATAAAAAGCATTAATGCAATTTTTGGTCTCAAGAGAACATTTCACCACATTGTTTTTGTTGCAATTAATTTTGGCAGTTCACCATTTTAAAGTGTTTGAATTTACTTCTACTTTTACAAAACTAATACCATAAACATGAAACTGATTCGGTTGTGACAAAAAAGAGAGATATCTATTAGGATTTGGAATTCTGATTCCTTAAAGCTTGCACCCAATTTCATTCATTTTCCATTATTTTAGTTAATACTGAAAGAAGCCTGTTGTTTATCCTGTAATTCTTTCCTCGCCTCACTTGTAATAAAGTAGGTGTTGAGGTTACAGGATATATAGGAAGCAGTATCAAACTGAATAATTTACCCGTTTCATCTCATTCTCCATTTTTTGTCGTCAATGTACACAAAAACATATCAAAGTATACAAATAATCATAATAATAATAAATGTTTCTCCCTGCGGCCTACTGAAGGTCACACAACACAACAGTACCACCCACCCCTCCTGGGCGGGTCACAAGGTATAGTCCCTGTGGCCTACTGATGGTCACACAACAGTACCACCCACCCCTCCTGGGCGGGTCACAAGATATAAAGCTTTGGCTTGTTACACAAATCACAGAAACTTGAATATAGTGTTCCGACTCCGTCACGCTGCTGAACATCAACGTTCCGAACTCTTCATGCTGTCAGACGTCAGTGTCTCGAATCCTCGCACTGTTGATCATCAGCGTCCCAATCCTTTCACACTTTTGAACATCAGCATTTCGAATCCTTCCCGTTGGTGAACACCAGCGTCCGGGAACCCTTCACACCGTTGAACGTCCAGACCCTGACGTCATTATTATGCTGATGGGTACCTACTTGTCAACAAACTAACCACTACACATCCACTGTTTTCCCATCTAAAGATTTTAAAGTGCCATTTTGTGTGACGCCATTCGCTTTTGAATGCGACGACGATTGTGAACGTCTGTGCTTTGGCGGAATGACGGGGGGGATTTTGTCTATGGCTCCACTGCTCGTTCGATGAGTACCACCAACAACTAACACTTCCTTGTAATTGTTATGATGATTCGAGTCCTTGGCCACGTTTCGTGACAGCGACGGTTTATTATTAGCACACACCTGACAGTCATGAGTATTGAGTAGAGATGGGTTTTGGTGGCTATATGGATTGGGTATATTTGGTACCACATGTGGAGGCACGCCATGATGTGGTGGGGTTGGTGATGGTGATTTCATAACATGATGACACACTGCAAGTAATGAAAAATAATTTAGAGACATTGGTGACAGATTTGTTTTTCGTGATTTCAATTCGATTCACTAAAACCGGTATTTTACTTAAATAAAATTGAGATTTTCACATTTTTAGGAAATTTTGTGTGAAAACATAACTAGTTTAATGAAATAATCATTAAAAATCATCCTTATGAAACAGTAATAAAAACAATCATCAACTTTCCTTCAACAGGAATTCTTAAAATAAATGTGAAGGTACATTGAACCTTGAACGATAATGCGGTCAGTAGATTTGTTTCACTTTCTATCTGAAGTCTAGAAGAGACAGCTTACCTGTAGAATTGCTTGGTACTGGGATGGGGGAATTATTATGTACAGGGGATGTACAGCGACAATTGCAAACATTGTGTTGACTATCACAAACAGCATCTTCAACTTGGTAATCTGTAATGTGATAAAAAGAGCAGGTTTAATAACCAGTTCACATCAACGTATCCCCTTGTCTGTAAAGCATGGTCACCAGAAACGTACCTATACTTCTGTTATGTGTCTCCTGTACAGGGAATTATCTCGGGAACTTAGCCCTGTTATCTTATAATACACTAATGTACTGTACACTTTAAGGAAAACAAATACCTGTGATGCATATGAAACTCCTGATATCCAATCATAAATTTTTCACTATACATCGCTTAATACATGATCATTGGTCCCACACCATCAGTAAATTTTGGAGAATTTCAAAAACCAATTGAAGTTATACTTTTTTCAACTCTCAGTATGTTAAGACACGACAGGTCAAGAGTGACATTTATTCTATTGAATGTGCATGGTCTGAGGTTTACATGATAGCAATGAAACGAATGTTCGCTATTGACAGCATTGTGTGATACTTGAACCAAACTCAAATATGATGTACTAATAATTATAACAGGACATGATGTTGTGACCTTACCTATGCCGGGGTGCGAGGCACCTGGCGGCTGGGGCTGGGATCCATGGTGAATCGGCATGCCACTCTGCTGTGGACTATTATATAAAGAGTGTCTATAATTAGCACTGTGACAATTCTGTCTTTCACCACTTGTAAGTCCCTGACACTGATCACACCCCTCACAATAGCCACCCCCACTCGCGTCCACGTTGGCTGACACCCGTGACGACGACAACGTGTCGTGGTTTGTGGGTACGGGGTGGAATGTCCGTAACGTGTGCTGATCACTAGCACGAGTGCTGTTTGTACTGTGAGAACTTTTTAAAGAGTCTGTTTCATCACTGTTTGGATAATGTAAACTTGAAACACTGTTTTCTGTTGGAAAGAAAAAAAGAAAATATTTTTAAGACTGTTTTCACTGTAGAATAAGATTTTCCCAAAATAGATCCAAATAACCTTTAAGAATCACTATTATTTTAATCTCAAATCTTAATCATACATCAATGTCATAGTTCTTCACTGTTGCATATATTGCCTATATCCCAACCAAAATATGTAAGCCACTCTATATAACAGTTTTTTAACATAAAATCATTTTTCACTTTTACAAACTAATATGAACAAATTGTCTCATAAAATCATTTACTACACTTATAAATCAATATGAGTTCATTATCACATAAGAGATCATTTTTTTTAACATGTATAAATCAATATGAATTTAAAATGCCATCAAGAGCTGACAGTTCTATGCATTATTATATAAACAGTTGAATAGTATTAGGATGCCTTACCTGGGGAATCAGAGCCCAGCTGGTGTTCCCCCAAGGTGAGAGGAACTGACTGTTGATGATCTTCCTCATCTACATCACTTGGAAATATGGCCGCTCTTGCCGCCCGAAAACGTCCTGATGATGACTCGTACCCAGATTCCTTCATCTGGTAGTCGTGGTACTGAAAGTTTGGTGTTGTCATCGGGACTGGCTGAGTAAAGCTTCCCTCTTTTTCAGACGATGTATACCCTGAGCTGGGTATCTCGCCTGGGAGAGTGGTTTCATCTGTGGGTGTAGCACTGTACATTTCATGTCGCTTCCTCGTCTGGTAGATGATAATTACCCACACCAATGATGTCCCCACCACGCAGCAGACAACAGCGATGATGATGATCCCTGTTGTTGTCGACTCATCGCTGGGACCATTGTTTCCTTGCTGGCCGCCCTTTACTTCTGTCACAGCACCGCGGTTCTTGGGGATTACGCGCAGGTTAGTGGATCCAGTCTCTTTACCAAGAGTATTAGACATGACACATGTGTAGCTTCCGTGATCGCTCCTCTCGGTCTGTACAATAATAAGTAGCTGGTTACCGGCGGTGAAGAAGTAGCGCTGACTTTCCTTTAAAGGCTGGTCATTTTTAAGCCAGGATAGACTTGGAGCAGGACTTCCTGCGGCCATACACTCCAACACAGCGGTATCCCCTACCGAAGTCACCTTCATCGTCTCCATTGGCTTTACGAAAGTCGGCGATTCTAAAGTGGAAATGAACATTTTTGTTCAGCATTTATGTTTATCTTAACCTTTGATTACTGGTAAAATGACAACTATAATTTCCTTCAGATAGACTTTTAATTTATTTTGTCAAGAATAGACTTTTAATTTATTATTTTGTCAAGAATAGACTTTTAATTTATTTTGTCAAGAATGATCAAACTAGTCTTACTTCTGCTGGATGGCACATAAGGGTGTAATTCTGCATTTATTATGTTTTTATGGTAATAGCGTATAATATCAGTGAAATATGATGAAAAGAATGTTGTCTCTAATTGACCTATTTGCATGATCCTGGTTAAGACCTTACTGCCCACTCAGCCTACCCAACACTCTGCCCACTCAGCCTACCCAACACTCTGTCCACTCAGCCTACCTAACCCTCTCAGTGTAGCGTTGGCGCTGATCTTGCCTGGTTAAGACCTTACTGCCCCCTCAGCCTACCCAACACTCTGTCCACTCAGCCTACCCAACACTCTGTCCACTCAGCCTACCTAACTCTCTCAGTGTAGCGTTGGCGCTGACCATGCCTGGTTTAGACCTTACTGTCCACTCAGCCTACCCAACACTTTCTGTGTAGCGTTGGCGCTGATCATGCCTGGTTTAGACCTTACTGTCCACTCAGACTACCCAACACTTTCAGTGTAGCGTTGGCGCTGATCTTGCCTGGTTAAGACCTTACTGCCCCCTCAGCCTACCCAACACTCTCAGTGTAGCGTTGGCGCTGATCATGCCTGGTTTAGACCTTACTGTCCACTCAGCCTACCCAACACTTTCAGTGTAGCGTTGGCGCTGATCATGCCTGGTTAAGACCTTACTGACCACTCAGCCTACCCAACACTCTCAGTGTAGCGTAGGCGCTGATCATGCCTGGTTAAGACCTTACTGACCACTCAGCCTACCCAACACTCTCAGTGTAGCGTTGGCGCTGACCATGCCTGGTTAAGACCTTACTGCCCACTCAGACTACCCAACACTCTCAGTGTAGCGTTGGCGCTGACCTTGCCTGGTTAAGACCTTACTGCCCACTCAGCCTACCTAACACTCTGCCCACTCAGCCTACCCAACACTCTGCCCACTCAGCCTACCTAACACTCTCAGTGTAGCGTTGGCGCTGACCATGCCTGGTTAAGACCTTACTGCCCACTCAGCCTACCCAACACTCTCAGTGTAGCATTGGCGCTGATCTTGCCTGGTTAAGACCTTACTGCCCACTCAGCCTACTTAACTCTCTCAGTGTAGCGTGGGTGCTGATCATGCCTGGTTAAGACCTTACTGCCCACTCAGCCTACTTAACACTCTCAGTGTAGCGTGGGTGCTGATCATGCCTGGTTAAGACCTTACTGCCCACTCAGCCTACCCAACACTGTCAGTGTAGCGTTGGCGCTGATCATGCCTGGTTAAGACCTTACTGCCCACATAACCTACCTAACACTCTCAGTGTAGCGTTGGCGCTGATCATGCCTGCAGCGTTCTTGGCCGTACAGCTGTAGACTCCCTCGTCCTTCCTGTTCACCTCCACGATAAAGAAAACATCATCTGCGGTCATCACATGGACCCTCCTCTCCCTGGCCGCAGGAAAGTCATCCCCGTCCTTGTTCCACTTAATTATTGGGTTGGGTTGACCGGTAGCTGCACACTGGAGGCGGGCTGTGTGTCCAGCCTTGACCGTCACATCTATGGGCGTCTTCACAAACTTGGGGAACACTGAAAAACAGACATATGAAATTTTATAACACCAGTTATTATTGTAACTACAACTGACAATCAGCTATATAGCTAGAGGACAAGGATTGAAAGTGGGGACAAATCACAGCTCAAACTACTGTGACCGACATTTCATTTCAATTTGATTCAAAAGGCAGCTGATCAACATTCACTTAATGACATTAAACATGGAATACAACCATGAATGTAGTAACTTATTTTCCAAAGAGCTTCCAGTTTTACTGACTGTGTGTGGTTACCAGAGTACTACTGTAGAATAGTTACTGAAAAAGATCAGTGTCTCTCTATGCATAGCAGGCTGTAGTCCACAGTGCAATGACATTCGTATGATCTCTATTAGAACTTTTTCCTGATCTTTATCTTTACAGGCCATCACTTGACCCAGTATACTAGAGAATGAGCTATCACTGACTGGGAGGTGGTACGTACCATGGACACGGATGTCAGACTTATTGGAGTAGGCCGAACCAAACTCGTTGGAGATGATACACTGGTACAGACCCATGTCGGAGTCTTGTATACGGGTCAGATGGAGGTGGGAGGTGTAATTGTAGATGTCTCCATCCGCACGAACGAAGTTCTCCACGTTCTTGTCCATCAACAACTGTACACAAAAAACATACGTGCATTACAATATACGGACAGTTTACATGTATCCTGTCAACGAAAGTTATAACAACATGAATAATTCTTCTATTTGAAACTTTCATAATGTTACAATCAAGATATTCATTTTTTTTCTTCTAATTCTAATCATTCTTGCAGGAAAAAACCTCTGATTTGTTTTTATTTACAAGCAGGTCTGAAATCAAGGCCTACCATGTTGTTCTTCTTCCAGCTGAACTGTGTGTGTGACTGCATGGTACTGTTAGCGCTACAGTTGAGGGTGATGTTCTGTCCCTTCAGTGCGATCTGGGACACTGGGCTCACCGTGATCACTGGCTGCAGGAAGTCTCCCTCTGAAGGTGAAAAAACTCATGATTAAATCATACCACAAATCAACACAATACACATTAAACAAGAAACGTTTTGTTAAACCTAGATACCCCCCTGATTTGATGGAAATATAGCTAACCAAAGTCAGTGAAGCAGACAAGAAAAGTCACCTATGTGTTATAGGACAGTGTAGTACCCAGGAAAATGTATAAATCTACATATATTCTTCGATGAAATTGAGCTAACCAAGTTGTCATACCGACAGACGAACTGACAGAAATAGCAAGTACTTAAAACCCCCTTCACTTATGTGGTGGGGGCATAAGAATGCCTTTGGACATATGAAAGTAGTTTTCTATTTTTAAATTTATGCTTTAGTTTCATTTTCTATGACAATGCTTTGCCAGGGAACACACATGTGACATCATCATGAGTGTACATTGGTAGGAAAAGGTTTTATTATACATGTTACTCTGACAAGCTGGTCATACTATGACCAGGTTTTATTTAGTATGACCAGGTTTTATTTAGTATGATTATATATTGATAGTACAAAGTTTTTATAGTAACATTTCACTCTTAAAATAAAGTCATTTGAACAAGGATTGCTTCAATTTTAAATAAAGTTTTGTTTTAACTGAACTTCTATTTTTATAAATACAATTTACCCTCACTCAGTGAACACAAGATACAGGTGCCCTGGTAAACAGAATCTGATTCAAGATTTGGTTACATAGAATTTATCATTTGCACATGTCTTTGTACCACTATGTTAAACACTAATTACAGCTTTCTATGCCAAACTTAAACTTTCAGTTTGAGCTGGTTCGACCTTGACCTTATAAGCTGGGATGACCTTGACCGGATACTTACCACACTTGAACTCTTGTGGATCAATAGTATAGATATTTTTGCCTCTATGTTTGGCGGGGTGGGCACATACGGCTGTGACTGTGCTCTGGAAACCCTTTTCTTCCAGCCACTGAGGCAGCCACGACAGCTGACAATCACACAGTAGACTTGATGAATTAAATGATCTGAAAGTACACAAAAAAATCTACAAGTTAGAACTTTGGGCAACCTCTGGGAAATACATAGAGAAGAGCAGTCTAAAACCAAAAACACAAAAAACAGCCAACACAGAAATTTGAACTACTAAAACCACACGGGATTTTCTGAGGTAATTAACAATCAAATCATGATCCGTAAATGAGAGAAAAAAACTGAAAAATAACCAATTGACTGCAGTTAGAGGATTGGTGCAGGAGCTTAATGATAACCTGGAGGAATCAATCGATCGGCAAATGAGAGGGAAAAAATACAACATTGAGAAATTGTGGATCACACAAAGCCTATGGGAAATTGTATACTGAGGAAATCAGAAGATCTACAAAAGAGAGAAAAAATTTCAACTTAGGAAATTGAGAGCTTTGGAAAAGCATTGGTATTAATTGTAAAATGGTGGCCGTCTCATCAAAGGTTAATGGGTCATTAAGCGCCCTATTGAATACGTATCAATCACCGAGACACATTTGTATGCTGCTGCATGTACCAATTACCATGGCATTACACCCCAGCCAAATTAACAACAGCACCGGCAAACTTAATCAACTCACAGGTTTTCTCCTCCTATGCCCAGCGATTAACATGTTTTTAATCACATTAAAATCTACCACTCTCAATCATTTTGCCACTAGGCTGAGCATTTTTGGGTCTTAAGGCAGATAGATTGAACAAGCCTTTCTCGGATTATATGGCTAACAATTTAACGACTTGTAATAAACCACTCAATGTTTTGTCTTTCATGCATTTCAATAAGAAGCAAATACTATTAAAAGTCATTAATGACGGAGAACTAGGAAAGAATGGGTGAATTATACCCTCACACTCCACGCATCATCATTGTCTCAAAGATAAATTGTACTCCTCTAGAAAACAGAGGAAAAAAAGCAACATTTAAACGGTTCCTTTGATTCTTGACAAATCGTAGGGACTTTTGAGCGAAGAAAATCTGGAAGACATGATCCTTGAGAGCCAAAAATGTTTCGATGCTATTAACCTCAAGCCTAAGTAAAAGAAAACAGCACTTAATTTTAAAACAGAAATTGCTTCCCTAAGCGCAAGTATACATGTGTGCTCAATTTCCTACGACAAAGAGATTTCCTAATGCACAAAAACCAACAGATAATGACACTTATTAGCATGCAGGCACTTAAACATCAGTCCATCATGCTTAAGAGACGTAGAAAAATGTTTTAAATATATGTTGCTTAAAAATGTGAAAAACATCTCCTGTAGATTTAAAGGTAAAAAAATGTTTTAACTATCAGAGGATATATTTTATATAAAGAATGGAGAGAAACCATCCTGTTGATGAAATTCCTGTGGAGAAACAATGCTATGGAGTCTTACAATTGAGAGAGTTGAGTCATGACCCTTAATGCGTCACGCTGGATGGAGGTGATGGGGTTGTTCAGCAGGTTCAGCCTCACTACTTGGCTGAGGCCACTGAAGGCATTCTGGGCTATCGACTTGATCTTATTGTTCTCCAGGCCCAGCTTGGTGAGAGCGGTTAGACCAGTGAAGGCTCCGTTCATGTCCTCTATCGTCCAGGAGATGGCGTTATTGTTTAATTCCCTGTTGAGGAGAAAAATAAATCATAAAAGATTTTTGCATTACTCTGTTAAATATCACCTGTACATTTATGTAGCGAGTTTCAAGTTCTCATTACAATCAATGGAACATTCATTCCTTTATCTTGTGATGGATGCATATCATGCTACTCTCAACTGTTAGGCCAAAAAAAAAAGGTGTCTGTTTAGGGTTCCCGACCGACCCTAGCTTTTTACCCCTGACCCAAAACTTTTTGATGAAAAAAAAAAATTAAAAATTTTTTTAAACCCACGGATTTTCGAATTTTAGAAGGTTCCTTGCCTTTCAAAATGGCTTCCAGCTCCGTGTTGGCGCTAAATGTCATCATATGGAGCACAATTTGACTCCAAATGAACCTATGTAATTCTTTGTTTTACATACAATAGTAGGGTCATAATCACATGACCAAAAATATACAAACAAACAAACCCAAAAAAAATCTGACCTACCTACCCTAGTTTTTTGGCCAATGCAACCCTAAACAGACTATATTTTTTTTTTGGCCTTAGCATGAAGACACTGTAGATCAGAAACAAACCTCAATATGACAAAGCTTGATTAAGTAAGGAGTTCAGATTTCTGACATTTTGAACAATGTACAATGTATGTGCCTATCGAGTTCAATAAGTATGATGCCATCCTGCTAGAACAATACTACCATTGGAATACATTGTACCACATCAAGGATCTAATGTCCTACTACTTGTACACTACTAAAGCATACTTACAGAAGCTCAAGGCTCTGCAGGTCACGGAAAGCTCCATCTTCAATGTTAGAGATGTGGTTGTCACTGAGGTAGAGAGAGCGCAGGTTATTCAGCTCAGAGAATGATCCACGGGTGATCGAGGTCAGACGGTTATTGGTCAAGTCCCTACAAAAACAAGAAATTATTAATTGTAGTGTGTTTATAATAATTATAACACAGCTCATATGAGGTGCTCCAGGTTTAATTTTAATATTCAAGTTTTGCAACCTATTTTTGATGTTTCTCAGATCGACATGACAATACTGTCATACTTTATACACAGGTACATTTTAATTTCATCAGATTCCTATTTACTTGTGATTACAAGTTCCCAGACTTCTATGAAAACCATGGTAAACAAATACTCATTGTGTACCAGAAGTCATATTCAAGTTCCACTACACACCTCATATACAAAGTACACAGTGTCTAGTACAAGTCTAGGTCCAGATACAAACAGAAGACCTGTCAGAATGTCACATACAGGGCTATGTCTAAATGACTGGTGCAAGTCTAGAACCAGAGTCTCAACAATGCTTATATTTTGGTACAGGACTACAGAGGACTTTTGCAAACTTATATAAAACCAAATACATACAGGAGATTTCTAAGAATGTCACAACAATGTCACCTACATATACACTATTTGCTAGTGTCAACAAACTTACGACACAGACAGGGCTCTATCTAGATGATTTGTGCAGGTCTAGAGTATCAACATACTGGACTACAGATACAATTCCAGATACATACAGGTCCTGGAGGGGGCCATGAGACCATGGACTCCTAAAAACCAAAATTGACCCCTCCATGTTCCCATTTTCTTTTAATTTTACATATAATAGCCCCTCTTCATTTTGAAATTGACTAAAAATTGCTAAAATGGCCCACTCCTCTCAAATTCCAAGATTTTCCCTGGTCACTACCCAGTTTAGGTCTCCACAAGTACAATGCATTAACAAGACTTGTGTAAGTCTAGTAAATAATAAAGAAAAAGTATACATTTCCAAAAAGCCTACATGTAGAGAGCCTACTTGTAGACAGCCTACTACGTATAGGGATGTGTGGTCGGGTAGGATCCCTTTACCTGTACACATACAGACACAGTGCCCCATTGTACCGATACCAGGCTAGGGTTTACCTGGCCAGTGTCGTTCCTGGCCAGGTGTGGGGCTGATTATATCTATCAATTGTTTCTGTGGTCATGCACCAAGGCCTTCTATAGCCCTACTAAATACACCCTGTATATAAATTACCCGTAGTAAACGTACATTCTTCTTATTCACTTAACACAAGGCTCGGATGTTTGTCAATACATTTCCATACTGGACACTTTACAAGCCTACAAATTACCCTACTTGGTCTTTTTCTTTCTCAATTTTCATCTCTATAAGACTCTTCCTTAGAATATAAACTAATCAAATACCTGGTCTAATTATTTGATTATTCCTCTGCTTAAATAATTTTTAACCTCAACAAGTAAGTGATTATTTAGTTGAACACCAGAAAATGTGCCACAGAATTAATTGTAAGAGGTCAATTTCCTCTGTCCTGTCAACATTATATAATTATTATACCCAACAAGTTTTTATCATTGTCAAGTTAACCATACCTCAGAACCAGTGAGCATATATGTAAGGCAGTCAACTTCATTGATTTATAACAAAATCTTCAGGCCAGCCACCTAGCCCCTTCCATTCCCCATGATTCAAGTCCTTATCAAAATCATTTAATACTCCCAATAATTTTACTATTAGTAGACCAGGAGTTATGCCCTATACCATCAACCTAGGTATACAAGATGGAGTGTAAGATCATGAATTCAATTATTTACAAGATTGCCTGCACCTGATAGTGCATACACTGTATATAGGTATGAACACCTTTCAATATATCTCCGGTCCCACTTCCTGGACCTGGTCCAAAGCTTCCCCTCCCTCCGGATACATGTACCTCCTCATTACCCTGAACAGATGGTCCCCCTGTATCACTACCCCTATCTACAGGGTTTGATATGATAAACAGATCATTTCATTAAGGCCCTGTATTCTACACCTATTCCGCCTAACAAGCCCGACAAATTTACCAGATTTCCATAAATGTTACAGTATCTAATTCCTCTCTACAAATAAAATTCCACCAAAACAGAAGTCTGCCACCCTATCCTGTTCTGATAAGATGAAATTGTGTAACTCTGCAGCTGTTTTGATGGGCTCCACACTGCTCCCCCCAACCCTCAGCTGGGTTATATACAGCCATTCAGCTGTTCCTCACATTCACAATGTTTTTATACATTATTTAGCCCATCATCGATCTTTCTTCATCTCTTTTTTCTGTATATATCCGCCCACCTCTCCATTCCTGTTTCTGGTGACTTAGATAAAAACTAAAATAATTTCAATTGTTTCCTACTGTTTTGATACATCTATTTTTATTTTCACTTATTTCATTTTTTTTCATCTATTTTTATTTTCAATTATTTCATTTTTCATCAAGTTTTTGAATGCACTATTCCTTTCTGCACATGTAGAGACAAATACCTTGGCATTTTATTTAAACAAATTTTCTTCAATTATGTGCATGGACGTTATTACACTGTAGTTTCTTTTAAGTTGTTTTACAAATTAAATGTATATACTAGTAGTTTCCAATCACATCTCTGCAAGTTTCTGTGCTAGCTTAACCAAAATAGTATCTTCTATTTGTAATATTACAGCCATCAAGGAATTTCATTATTAATTGACACCATATTAGCCTGCTTACTTTAACTATTGACAGCACATCAATTATGTGTTTCCTTGTAGGAGAGAAAGCTGGGTGTTTGATGCCCTATTACATAACACCTCGGCCTAAGTACCGCTTATCAGACAGAACCTATGCCTTTTATATTAATGAATACCATTGTCTGCTTCTTACAAACACAACTAGATAGATATAAACTTGGCCCAGCAGTGTACATAACATTCACACATACTTGAGAAGCCGGCCAGATAGTTGTGTTTTGTAGTACCAGCCAATTAGCTGTGTATCGTCTCTGTATCTAGCCTTACAACCAAATCCAAAAGCAGTGGTCGATGCAATTTCATCCATGCAATAAGCAGACAAAGTATTTATGATCGCCCAGATTACATCCATACACGTTAAAATGCTATATAAGATTGTGTAATACATAGTTAGGAGAAGTACTTGGGGCCCGCTTCTATATGTAATGTGTTACGGCAACGTATACATCATCCCGAGTGTCCCTTAACTCGTGTACCTCTCTCGCTATCCAAATCCTGCTTGCCCGCCCGTGAGCCCATCAATCGGCCCGTGAGCCCATCAATCGTGGGCAGATTCCCTTCCCTCCCTGGTATGGGGCGGTATAGTAGCCTGCGTAAGCCTCTTCAAACAATTGTTAGGTTTACAAAACAAAACTGTGGTTTTATCTTTTGAATTTTTACACGATTGTGTAAGATGCAATATTTTCTATACTTCTATTTCTTGTTCTTCATTTTTCAATGAAGGAAACGTAAAAAGTGTAATGAATGCAATTTTAGGAAAGGACAAAATAAGTTCGGGTGAAATTCAGAGGCTGTGTAAAGCTAACTGAGTTTGAGCTGAAATGGCTCTAGCCAGCATAGTGGTTAACATGTTACAGTCTGCAGAATACCGTTTCTGATCTGTGTTGTGAATGTATTGATTTGCAGTTTTCCATTTCCATCGGGATTACAGCATTACATGATATAGCTAAAGACCTGAGACCTCAGGTACAGCGCTAGTGTTAGAACAATACATCAGCCTGTTTAACCCATCCCAGTAACAACTAGCCCAATACCCTTACACTATCAACAACATATTTGCCCTTTTCATTCAAATTGTGTCTTGCATAGGAAGAGGCATTTATCCATTATTCCGCTATAATTGGGTGGCACTCACTATGAATGTGATATGGTATACTGGGGAATTCTGCGGAGAAAGCTTATGAGGATGTTATTGTATTTGAAATTAACAGAGCTGTTTTATGGGCATTGTTAAGGCATCTGTAATGGAGAGGTGTTTTGTACGACACTTTTACACGGACGGTTTGTGTAAATGTATGATGTACACACCTCCATACCCATATAACTGTATGTATGTGCTACATATATAATGATTATTTAATCGTTAGTAGTGTTTCACTTACTCAATATTCAGTCTATAGTGTAATATAAAATATTGTAATGATCTGCTTATTTTTTTCTATTTTTACTTAATATATATTTCATACAAAATTTCTTTCTTCTCTATGTAATCGTTGCTTATGTCTGTGATAAGACATAAAACATTCATGCTGAATATATACATGTTCCAGCATTGATTATGAGACACAATATCAAGGGCAAGCTTTGAGACGTGTGTACATTATCAAGTATAGTATGCTATGGACAGCTGTAGAAACCAAGCCACTGCCAACTACATAAGATAGCCCTGTACTATTTAAATCTTACAAACACTAGTGAAACCCTGCTCCAGTAAGAAAACAAATTTGTCAGTTAAAAAATTCCCGATTCATTTGGTACAGAGTAACATAAGATAGCCTCCAGCTATATAAACCCAGAGTCTGTGGTTAAACCCTCTCCAGTAGCTCCAGAGGGGAGAAAAAAAACGAAAACAAATTTGTCAGTTAAAAATCCCCCAATTCATTTGGTATCCAAATCTAGTTCTATCTTGCTGTAATGCCAAACCTGATCTCTTGCAAATAGCACAAATAAACATGTGCTCCTAGCTTACAGCGTGCCTCCCCACCAGTCAACCCAGACTTCATACACATGTCCATTTCCTCACTGCCAAATTCATGCAGAATTTCTGAATTTTATTACCAGAGTAGAAAGATGGAGGAAACTTTTTTTTACCTTCCTAATACACATAAAAGCTGTAAAAGCTTAAATTCTCCTAATTGTGGCATGAGCCTGGTTAGCCCACACCTGCTTACCATTTCTAATGGGAGAGGAATCCTAGACAAGGGAGGAGGGATCACAGACACCGTGATACAGTAACTTCACTTCCCGCACCCCCTACAATACACTTCCATATCCCCCCACACGCCAATCCCTTTCCTCGGACAATCTTCTAAATTCCATCTAAGGTCCCCTCCTGTCTTCTCTCCCCAAACCTCCCAAGTCTGTACGTTGCTCACCCCTATGGAGCCCCAAACTTACACCTGTCCTCCATCAGAACCCATTGGTGCCATTTACTCCAGAATCAAATGAGAAACACCCTACAATATTTTACAAAAATTTAATACTGCAAGCTATCATTTTCTTTACCCCTTTACATTTCAAAATGGAACACTGACATCTGACTATTCAAACTATTTGTAATCCTGTCAATTTCAAAGATATTACTTAATTAATTTTAGTGTATCTGTCGAGAAAAAAAAATATGTTATCAAAACATGTGAATCTTGTTAATTATGTACAGCATTATTGAATTTAAATGGATTTAGGATAGTATATCTTTTGATCTATTATTTAATTGTCTATCAGATTAATGCCTTTAAATTATAAAATTTAATTGAATTTTGATATGGTGATTAACATATTACAATGTCTCTTGATCTTGAGACCATAATCTAAGCAAAAATTTTATTCCATGTTTGTTAAAAATACCACTAGAAAAAATAACAGTCAAATGTAACGACCTATAAATACTAAAGGTATGATACCAAACAGTTGTGTTTGTGTTGTAGAGGATGTCAACTTTACAGAAGGTAAACAGAGAATTCATCAGATACAGCATGAATACCAGATTTCTTACTTGGAGCAACACAAAACCTCGTTCTACAGGTGAAGAGACGAGTGAGAAGATTTACAATTCAAATCTCCATTTCTGCTGTATAATTGAAGGCGGATGATCACTTGCCAATATTTCCCTTTGAATAGAGCTAGGATATGTGGTTTGGAGATATCGGGGCCACTGAATAGGGCTCTACAGCGGTGAAAAGATGAGCTCGTTATGGTGAGGTGAGAAAGGGCAGGACGTCTTATGTGCGAGTATGAAGTGGCTCGTTCCACTCCTATACCCAAGCTGGTGCCAGCACGGTCCACTAGCCTTTGAGTAGGGATTTCTCACCATTCACACATACACACACCGATGGCCTTTCAGTGTCCAAATTAACATGACAAACACAGGCTATTGTCAACTCCCCACACAATCATTGCCTTACACATTTTTTTTTATTAAAACTCTTCTTTTCAAAATATGACATTGTGAAAATTCTGATTAGAAAGTAATTGCTGACATCTCTTTCTTTGAGCTATCCAAGGCCCAGGTACATTTCCCCGGCTCATAGTATTAGCAATTTGACATCACTTTCTCAGCCAGCCAGACTTGGGATACATTTCCTCATTGGCTATCCCAATTATTTCCTGAATAATGCTGAATTAATGCTGTACTAAATATTACTAATAAAGTAATCATAAATATTTCTAATTAAGATATACTAAATATTACTAGTTAAGATCTTAACTAGTAATATTTAGTATATCTTAATTAGTAATATTTAGTATATATGCTAAATTTAGTATATATGCTAAATATTACTAATTAAGATATCAGAATTCCCCTAGTTATTGTGTATCCTTTTGTTACTTTGACAAATTTCTTGTCAAATTATATCTTACATGATTTACAACTCTGAAAAGATATTTTAATAACTGCCTTAAGATAATCCCCAAAAAACTACAAGACTGTACAACATACTTTTTTTGCCCATGACTACTAAAGTTCTCTACCACATAACTGGATACTTACAGAAGCTGTAAATTTTTGCAGACCTCCAAACTCTCGGGGTCAATAATTTGAATTCTGTTGTTGGTCAGGGATCTAAAACAAAGAAAAAAGAAATTCATGCATCAGAAGTATATTCAAGTCAATTATATACGGTACTGTTCTTACAAGGCCTGACTGTAGTATGTATGTATGTATGTATGTATGTATGTATGTATGTAGCCGACACATCAAGGTTATGTACTTTCTCTAACTGGTTAATGTAATATAATTGACAATGTTCAGTAATTGTGAACCTGCCTTAGTTTATTACTCCAGTTTTTATCTTACAAATAACGTGCCAATTCTAGAACACAATGTTTTTACATTAGAACACTTGTATATAAAGACGGAGACAATTAGAAGTTGCCCCCCTGGTAGCTATATAAGAATCCTGACTCACACTTTGGCCAATTACAGGCATTTGTACTGCTGTAAGTTTGATACAGCTGTCACTGAAGGCCTCAACAATTAATGGCCGCTTGTTCCACTTTCATTGCCAGATGTTTTTCAGCAAGCATTTCATAGAGGAAAACCGCCAAAATGCCAAAAATAATTGCAGCACATTCACACACATTGTTTATGATTTCATTTCCAAATAGGTAGAGATGGAAGCCATTATCAAAATCTGAAAACAATTTGCTGGTTTAAGTAATTTTAAAATGAGTATAGTGGGAAAACTATTGCGAAAATCTCGAAACCATTGTGTTGTAATAATCACATTTTCCTTATCAATTCAAACTATTTTCTCCAGTAAACACAACTTTTCAACTTTTTCCACATTGATATTCCCATCACGATTACAGTGTTGATTCCAATCAAGTGCAACAGGATTTTATACAATTGAAAAAGGCAGATGCAGAGACCATTTATAGAGGGCATGTGTTTGTAGGGATGGACTTATCATGACAAAACCCTATATATGTGATGTATAGATGGCGTTTCAAGTCATCTCGAGTCCCCACTGTACAAAACCAGCTATTTATGGTATGCATCCCTACAATATGATACTATTAACGATTGAAATGTTTCAGATTTTTTTTTTATTTCACAACATAAAGAGAAAAACAACTGACACATTCATAAGCTATGAGGCTTGATCAACTTTCTGGCTAGAACACAAACTCACTAGATAGTAGACTCTTTTCTTTTTATATAAAAACGTTTTTATTTCAATCTTCTATTTCGATAAAATACATTTTTACTTCAAGCCTGCATAGGAAATGGGAAAAAAGATGAGGTATCATATTAGCGGATTGTTGATTTTATTTTTGTTGAAGTTTCAATTTCTACATGAAGCAAATTGAAGTGAACTACTTTCAGTATCAGTTAACAGGTTGCCTTACCAGCTAACAAATAATAGTCTCGTTCTGCACTAACCAGGCACACGGCAGTGCAGATGGGCCGACTCTTTGACCTGTAAATATGTCAGCTATTCTAATGTTACTGTGTTCCAGAGACCTTTACAACTAAAACAAATTCTTCTCAACTTTCCTACAATTTACATTTAAATGTAACTCTAGTCTCCTAACATTTTGGCCGTACTTAAAGACTAGATCACATTTCGAAGGCATGTTTTTCTTATTTTGAGCTAGAGTATTGCTAGCTTTGTATTCAACCTTGTATCGCAGCTATAGAAATAAAACTCAAACTTTGAGGGAGGGAGGATATTATTTCAGCTAGAATATCACATGTACTCTAGTTCTGGAGTAGATGATGATAACCTCTGTAGGGTCTGTGGGTTGGAACATTATTTTTGTAAGCTGCTAAGTGTAAGCATAACTTCACAGGAAGGAATATGTTTTTCGATACATCTGGTGTGGAATTCAATTTCTGTATGCTGTGCATGCACAGTTGTATACTAAATTTTAAGTATTTAAAGTGGATTATGAATTTGACAAGTTGAGGAGTTAGAATGAATTTGGAGGATGGTAGTAGAATACAATTTTGGATAGTCTAATTTTTTTTGTTTTTTTTACATGTTTCTGTTAAAGACTTGAGCAAGTCTATCAAACAAACTGGTCTAGCAGGGGAGGAAAGTGATAGAAGAGAGTTACAAACAACGGGATTGTAACCTGTCTTGGATATACCGGCTGGAATATAAATTATGTTGGCAGTTGGAATATCAATTCTGTATGCACATGCATGTAGTTCCTAACACATATATCTTAATGCTGTTTCAAATCAATATTTGGAGAGAAATTCAAGGAATTCGTTAAAAAATAAAAATATAACTCAAGAAATAAAATCGAATGTCTAAGAGAAGCTGATTTTATGTAATACATGTAAAAAGGTGATTCCTATAACTTATTTGTATTCTAATTATCTTACTGGAATGACAAAAAAAGAGAATCTGCTGTTTGAAACTGTATATGATCATGAGGTAAGGGATACACGGTATTTTCCTTTTGACAACAATGAGCCATAAAGCTAAGATGGAGAGTGGTATGTGGTGTTTATATAACAGTCTACAGTCCAGCTTACAGACAGGCTTCAGCTTGGTAAATACATGCTTGCTAGCTCACCAGTACATGGTTAACTAACTCTCTACACCAGCATGACTTAATGTATAAGAGTGTTTGCCTGCTGAGACGTCCTATTAGACAGCAAATCATTAGCAAGTGTTCACTCGAATATTTATGAAATATTGATTGAGAAGTATTGGTTCACTCCTGATGTAAGCTGTGTATGTCTTTCAGTGTTAATATCTCCCCCAAGACCTGTCCAGCGGAGAAAAAAACCTTTCTTTGTGTTAACAACAAAGGCTGTTAATGTGTAAGAAAATTGGATTGCAAAATGTCTGGCCCTAGTTTTGGAGTTGAACACTGGAGAGTTATTGGGTAATGAAACAAAAACATGTATAAAATTGTAAAACTGGATTTTTGTTGCATTATTTCATCATAACTAATCACTCCCTACCTAGCTGTGTCTTATTGTTCTTCCTATAAATACACTGCTGTACAACACAGCAGGAGAAGGTTGATTTTGAATTTAGAGCGAAATACAAACAACTTCTATTTTACACTCTCAATATATTATATTTCTTATCATCATTATGATCTGGAACATTTATGCTATCCCAATTTCTATTTGTTTCAAACAGTTGGGCAAGATTATTATTAACAATATTTTCATTGGACAAACAAGACTGTCAGAGATTTAGAGAGATGGATTGAGATTCACAATATATGTCAATTTGAGGTGAGACCTGGAAAACATGGTCACCCTATATATTGTACCAGCTGGTAACCAATCAAATTGCAGTAAACAAATAAAGTCAAGAATGGGATAAAATACAGGAATCATCGCAAGATCTGAGTTTCCACATGAAGGATTGGTCAGATTCATCATTATCAACAACTCATGTTCCTGTTACAAGTACACATTCCATCTAATTGAGCTTTTATTTGATCTAACAACAATTTCTCTAGCAACACCAAAACTGCCATAGAATCCATCTTTAAGTCATAATCCTAATATCACGACTAGGTTCAATTATGGCAAAACCATCATTTTTAAGTGATAACCAATTAATTATTTTTAACAGATCTCATTATTTTTAGTGTATTGAAAGGAAAGTAATAACCAATTAATTATTTTCAATAGAATATAATCTCACACTTCACTAATTCATATTAATTTTTCCAACACAGGCAAGATCACCAATGAAAAAAAAATTGTGAATGGGATCGGTCAGGAAGTGATGTAACCCTATGAGATAATTTGCCATTTGAGCATAACTTTGGACGGAAATTCATGATCTTAATGCACTATCTTAATGAGTTGATTAATTTTCTGTTAAATTACAAGAAAAATCTTTTAATTTAGAACCCTGTATCGAAAGGAATTCACACCTAGATACCATCACACCCTACAATTTCTCCAATCAATTCCTAATCTACGAGGCAAAATAATTGTACACCATCATCACCTTCATGGCCGGGTTAAAAAAATAAATAATGAATTCAAATCAAACAGTTTGGAACTCAACTCTTCTCAACAGTTTTTAATCAGTAACAACCATCTATATAAAGTGTTAAGTCTAGTTATTCACACAAAATTCTGCAGCATAACACTTGAGCCGAGAAATTAATTCTGTGGAGTATGCCAGTATCAGCGGAGGTGAGAAGTAGGAAACGCTTACGCCTGGTCCCGTGGAGCCGCCTCTACTTGCCCTGTTCAGGTCAGATGGCCCTCCCGCTGTCGCCCAGATTACCTACTTTGCTATCTACCTATTATCCAACAATACCACAACTCCAATGCTTTCTAAGGAGCATACAACGGGTAGCAGAGTCATGTATATGCATGTGGGAAGCCTGCTGATCTTACATTGTAAGACACATAAAAGTAACATTTCATTTCCTTTTTTTCTCCGCTGTAAAATCTCCTATAACAAATAAACTTTCTGCAATTGTTGTGGTGTTTTTTAAGGCCGGGAGATTTAATCAGGTAGCGTAATAGTGATACTACCCTTGTATTGTATCGTGTAAATACTAATTATTTCCCTTCTCATTTCTTTTTTTTAAAGAAATTTAATGCACGTTTCAATCTTTTACTCGCCTATAAATTACATACAACCATTACTTGATAAATAATGTATGTAGAGGCATGAATCACAGGCACACCTGCTCAAGGAAAACTATGTTTGTTCATGAACGACTTCATAGGGAATGGTTGCGGACTCCACAGAGAGACAAAATTTTAATGCATTTTTAAAGGAAAAAAAATCACCCTTTACCTTATCTATATCCCCTCATAAAGCCAAACCTTTTACTTTGAATTTTATTTAATTGAGACATTAATTCCATTAAGTTTCACCAACACAAGACACGTAGAATGTAAATTTACAGCTAGCGGTAAAGTTCTTTGGTGAATTATAGTTCACCCTTTTGTCAGGGTTAAAATTCAATGTGTCGCATTGATTTCCTTTGTAGATTTTAATATTGAACAGTTTTATTCTTCATTGATAGACAATTGGTGCAACTGCATTCTGTTTTAGACTGAATGTACTAAATGTGCTCGGAACACCGAGGATAGACGGTCTGTTAGACCATCAACACCACAGATCTAGAATATAGGACTGTCAATGGTACTGCCAATAAGAACACATGGGACAGAAGATCTACCAGATACTTACAGTTGTTTGAGGGATTCCATCCTATACAGCCAGCTCTGGGTCACATTTGAAATGTTGTTGTGGTCAAGTTGTCTGTAAAAAGCAATATTTACTTTTTTTAAATGCTAAAACTTATAAAAACTTTTTTTTTCTCAAAATGTTTGCTATTATTTTTTTCTCTATATATTATCAGGTTTCTCCAATTCCTCAACATTCAATTACTAGCAATTTAAAACCTCTAGGAATTGATATGATGACCCCAAAATAATCAGAGATCATTAATGCGTAACTAATAACAGAGATAATTAACTAAAAACTATGAACATTTACTTGGTCCCCAGCACATTGAATCATTTAAACATGATCAATGATTAGGTTCTAATTAAAAATGGACCGTTATGTTAAGTGGTGTTATAACATTACAGAACAGCTAGCTACACTATAACTACCTAGAGAGCACCTGATGCAGTACGATATGCAGTCAATTTATACCGACCCAGGTAATATACTTACAAGCTCTGTATCTTAGTTAGGCCGTAAAACGCTCCATCCATCAATACTGATATCTGATTTTTCCGAAGCTTTAAAGTTTGTAAATTGGATAACTGTTGGAATAAAAGACCTTCAATTTGGCGGAGCTGGTTCTTGGTTATCTCTCTGTGAAACAAGATAAAAACAACATTCAGCAAATTAAAAATTACAACTACTATTTACAACTGACTTCTTAAATCTGAAACGCTGGGCAATTATCAGTGTAAAGTTATTGTTTATTGGTATGCCGCCTATAAATGATCATGTGACAAGCCCTGATGTTTCCTTATGATCATGTGACAAGCCCTGATGTTTCCCTATGATCATGTGACAAGACTTGATGTTTCCCTATGATCCATGTGAAAGACCTGAGGTTTGTTTTCAAAGATCATGTGACAAGCCCTCAGGTGTCCTTTGATAATGTGACAAGCCCTGATGTTTCCCTATGATCATGTGACAAGCCTTGATGTTTCCCTGATCATGTGACAAGCCCTGATGTTTGTTTTCTAAGATCATGTGACAAGCTCTGATGTTTCCCTATGATCATGTGACAAAACCTGATGTTTGTTTTCTAAGATCATGTGCAAGCCTCAATGTTTTTATTCCATGGTCATGTGGCAAGACCCTCTATGTCTTCCTTGACCAACAAAACTCTGAATATTTTCCATATACAGTGATTCTCTTTATTCTGTTGTCCTGTGTGTACAGTGATTCCCTTTATTCTGTTGTCCTATGTGTATGGTGATTTCTGTTTATTCTGTTGTCCTGTGTGTACAGTGATTCTCTTTATTCTGTTGTCCTATGTGTACAGTGAATCCCTTTATTCTGTTGTCCTATGTGTACAGTGATTCCCTTTATTCTGTTGTCCTGTGTGTACAGTGATTCCCTTTATTCTGTTGTACTATGTGTATGGTGATTTCTGTTTATTCTGTTGTGCTGTGTGTACAGTGATTCTCTTTATTCTGTTGTCCTGTGTGTACAGTGATTCCCTTTATTCTGTTGTACTATGTGTATGGTGATTTCTGTTTATTCTGTTGTGCTGTGTGTACAGTGATTCTCTTTATTCTGTTGTCCTGTGTGTACAGTGATTCCCTTTATTCTGTTGTCCTATGTGTACAGTGATTCCCTTTATCCGTTGTCCTATGTGTACAGTGATTCTCTTTATTCTGTTGTCCTATGTGGACAGTGATTCTCTTTATTCTGTTGTCCTCTGTGTACAGTGATTCTCTTTATTCTGGTGTCCTATGTGTACAGTGATTTCTGATTATTCTGTTGTCCTGTGTGTACAGTGATTTCTGATTATTCTGTTGTCCCGTGTGTACAGTGATTCCCTTTATCCGTTGTCCTATGTGTACATTGATTCCCTTTATCCGTTGTCCTATGTGTACATTGATTCCCTTTATCCGTTGTCCTATGTGTACATTGATTCCCTTTATCCGTTGTCCTATGTGTACATTGATTCCCTTTATCCGTTGTCCTATGTGGACAGTGATTCCCTTTATTCTGTTGTCCTATGTGTACAGTGATTTCTGTTTATTCTGTTGTCCTATGTGTACAGTGATTTCTGATTATTCTGTTGTCCTGTGTGTACAGTGATTCCCTTTATTCTGTTGTCCTGTGTGTACAGTGATTCCCTTTATTCTGTTGTCCTGTGTGTACAGTGATTCCCTTTATTCTGTTGTCCTGTGTGTACAGTGATTCCCTTTATTCTGTTGTCCTGTGTGTACAGTGATTCCCTTTATTCTGTTGTCCTGTGTGTACAGTGATTCCCTTTATTCTGTTGTCCTGTGTGTACAGTGATTCCCTTTATTCTGTTGTCCTGTGTGTACAGTGATTCCCTTTATTCTGTTGTCCTGTGTGTACAGTGATTCCCTTTATTCTGTTGTCCTGTGTGTACAGTGATTCCCTTTATTCTGTTGTCCTGTGTGTACAGTGATTCCCTTTATTCTGTTGTCCTGTGTGTACAGTGATTCCCTTTATTCTGTTGTCCTATGTGTACAGTGATTCCCTTTATTATGTTGTCCTATGTGTATGGTGATTTCTGTTTATTCTCCTAAATGTACAGTGATTTCTCTCATCATGTTGTCCTATATATGTGTACAGTATTTTTCATCTATTCTACTCAGTGTACAGCGATTTCCGTTTATTCTGTTGTCCTAAACATGATGTCTAAATGGTTTAAAAGTAATGAGATGTGATTAATCATCAAGACTAGTATGTTATTTCTCCATAAAGATGAAGTAGAGATAAGTCATAGCGGCAAATCCTTTCATTTTATTAACTCTATTATAGGAAAATAATATTCCCATGAAGATATTTGGTGCACATTCAAAAAGCGATTTACAGTTGGCACAGAGCAAGCAATCGATACACGAGGCTCATAATTATCCAAACAAAATGTGTCATTTCCCTCAAATCATCGAACAATCCTGTGCATCTCAAAACCTAATCGCATGTAAAAACACAACTCTGGGCCATAAATCCCTAACTGATTGCTATCTGTCATCTAAGTTAAATGTGTTTTCCATGGTACAAGTTTAAATGAAATGCTGTGGAGAAAAAACTGGTAGCCTCTCCACCAGTCTTGTAACAATGCTGTAATGACAGTCCTGCTNGGGGGGGGGGGGGGGGGGGGGGGGGGGGGGGGGAGCCACGAGCTCTAGTCTGGTTAGCTCTATATCATCACCCACACATTGTCACAGCAGCCACTGACCCGATAGACTAGCGTTAAAACATGCCACGATTTAATCAAAATAGTCTTACGACAATCACAATGAAAAACTTCAGAAAGAAACAGTCTGAATGCTGCGAAAAAAGAAGGTTTGAAGATTATTATTTGTCCCCTGAAGCTTGCATTTTCGAGAGAAGCTAGGAAAAGGAATGGAGCGAGCTTGCCAGACAAGCCTGGTGATTTATCAGCATTGTCTATAGCCCACTTCTTCCACCATCTAGGCCTTCCATCTTAGGCCAGCACAAACATTTCATTTCACAGAAATGTGTTTATGATGCATGGGGGACTCTCCTTGCAAGGTACTAATTATACTTCCAGCTTAAGCAACATGTGCTTTATGTCAGATAGGCTGTAGCTACTGCTTCTAAAGGCATCTGTATAATTTCAATTATGATGATTAAAGTTGCATGAAGTATTTCCGATTAATCTTCTATGATCTGTTACCAGTAGTGTTATTATAAACAAAAACGGGTCCTTTTCTGACGGGCCTGCAATATGACAAATTCCCAAGCCTTGTTTTCTAAAATGATTTTTTGTTGTGTAAAATGCCAATACTTCAGCAATATCTAACACTGGTTTCTGGAAACTTTGTAAGATTTCACTTTATTTTCTTTTTTAAAAACCGGTAAGAAAAATGCAAGAAACACTCTGTGAAACCTTGTCCATGGTGGAATAGGTCGAAGAAGGACCATATACAATTTGTAAACGTTTCTGACTGAACATAATTGCACAGGTTCTATCTTAACCTTGGTGGTTGGTTCACAAAATATTTCTCTATTCACCCTTCCACCCCTATGCAACTTTAGTAGACTCTCCCATAAATTGATCTGGACGAGTCCATTATGGTCTACAGTGGTGAAAGGGTTAAGCAGGATTTGGTAAGGACAGCTGCATAAACATGTGCCCTATACAACCACGACAAAATACATATTATGAATTTTATAAAAGTTAACACCATTTTCATTAAGATGCTTCGAGGGCAACAGAGTGTCAAAATAGTAATGTGTATACATACTTTATATTAAATGGCGAACAAAAATCCAATTTTACACTGCTATAAATTAATGCCTCTCTCCCACTATTCACACTTCTGGTGCTTTTTCTAGTAACTCATATCATATGTAAATGTAAAAGTATAAAAGCCATAAATAAAATGTTAATGTTGATCACATCTGTAAAAAATTCTGACACATGAATTTTTCTCACCATGTTTTACAATATTAACTTATAACCCAAATCAATGCTGACAAGACAAGGTCTCAAATCTCAGTATATTTTTTGCTTTTGAGTTAAGAAACAAAAAGTACTTTAGCTGTAGACACTACAGTTTAAATAGCTCTGATGTTTTGCCAGAGTTATTTTTGCTATCATGTGTAAAAAATAAAAGTTTGCATAGTTCAACAGTAACTGACCAATAGTGTTAAATACAGTTGTGTTGAATTTTAAGATCAGACTTTACCAAGCACAAAACCAAAAGTCACCCGATGTTTGGTATTTATGAATAAGAATTTGGTTAGTGTTTGAAAAATTAGAAACAGGTGAGATATTGCTAACTAGTTGATATCAATTCCTTTAACAAATTGAAGTTGCTCGAGTGGCTTAAATTATCTCTTTTATTCTCCTCTACTTACCTCTGCAACTACCCGTAGCCAAACTCATAATATCTCAAATGTTGGCCATAGTCTCCCTGTCTACACATTTTCATTTTGAGCAAAAATGTTTCCCACTTGAATGTATTGCCAATCTGCTTCTCATCTAGTCAAGAATGAGGCATTCAAAACTGAAAAGTGTGTGGAAAATGCATAATTTCTTTTGCTCTAAAGGAACACTTACAATGTTTTCAGTTTATTCATTTTACTGAATAAATTCTTCGGCAGGAAGCGGATTCTATTTTTATTCATCTTCAGCACTTCTAATGATGTTAAGTTGTCAAAACATCCCGATTCAAATGTTTCCAGACCGTTTCCATTGAGTGTTCTGTAAAACACAAAAACATGAATGTGTTACATATACACCCATCAAGAACACCTACATCAAACAAGCATAATTATCTAACAATCATTCCATAGGGCCTGCGGTAATTTATCACACAAGGCTCCAAGCCCCAGACACAGCGTACAAACACAAAGTGATGGCGGTGTTTACAAAGGAAAATTACATATGTTGTATCTCACATTATGTCTATTGCAAGTGCCCCAATTTTTTCTATAAATTCTAAAAATGTGTCAAAAATTAAAGAGGATAATGCTATTATGTAATAATTTATAATTACAACATCACATCATGAAAAACTAGCTAGATGGTTCTATAAGATGCTGTGTTGTACAGAAACTAGCAATGTGTTACCCAAATTGTAATAAATGTACCGATTCCTAACATTCTGTAACTGCCAAATACCAACAATTGATCCACTTAATTTAATAATGTGCATTTTCTCAGGATTGCTAGCACAGAACATCACACACTAACACGCATTACAACCATTACATCATCCACATCTATCATCATCAACTTGGAGAAGTGTACCAGTATGCATGTTGGAATGACATAAACGCGCAGCTCTCTTCCCTATTTATATATATATATATAGGACAATTCAAACATGCAGCCCCCTCCATCAACATAGAGGATAATCGTACTATGTGGTACAGTGATTCCTATGTATAGGGTACCTCTGAACTTGGTACTCTTTTTATACACAAGACAATCAGAACAAGTGCCCTATGCATAGCTTTATCAGACCAACACCGACTCGACACATGCAGTCCCCTATGTGTAAGCAATATAATATATTTTTAACCATCTAGGCAATCCAACCACATTATGTTGCTTCTGATTTCTGTAACAAATTATCTAGAACTAAATTCACAAATCTGTAAAAAAAAAAAAAATCTGTATCAATACGGAAGTGGGCTGTTTATTTCTTTATATTTAATGATGTTAAACCCAGTCCTACATATGTACTCTCCAGTAGCTGACTTTTACTCACATAAAAAGTGATGGGCAATTCTAGCCTCGCTTTTTTCAAGCACAGGCGGAACTTTCTGCATTTTTTTCACTTGAGCTAAAAGTGATCCCACAATGACTTGGTACTTTATCGGGCCTCGATACCACATACAACATATTGGCAACACATTTAATAATTGTTTTCAGACGAGGTTTGCAACTTTTGACTCTCAAGAACAAGATACTGTTATGTATCTGGGGGCCGCGTGCAGTCAGGCAGGACCGGTGGAGAAAGAAAATGTTTCTTTTAGCAGATAGTGTGTCTCGGGTTTCCTAATTTGAGCTAGCGTTTGACTCCGTGGCCTGGCAAAACAGTTGTGTCCCAACTGATCCAGTTACCTATGCGAGACACGCACTACCTGATGGTTGCCCACCAAGCTGTCCTGTGAGACACCCCGCCACACAATAACCTACGATTTTCTGGATACATGCTTCTGTATTGTTCTGTCACAAATGGAACACAAGGAAACCTGCGACCCCACGAATTTCATGGATCAAACTCCAGATAACATTTCTTTTTAAAATAAGATTTTGAACAATCGTTTAAACTTTTCATATCAAAACCATCCAACCGTGACAAAGGCATTTAAAATCTGTTTTCATATCAACGTTGTTGTGTACATATAGTTTTTACTTTGAAATTTACTGATATGTTCTTTTTCATTAGGTGGCAAATCTCAAACTCAAAATATTTTCAGCTGAAAAGGTAGTCTATATATATATATATATCAAAAAGACTACAATTCATTCAAGGGCTATTTCAGATATACTTGAATATACTTGGTACAGGGGAGCAATGCAGGGGTGTTAATAATTGATAAAATATGGGTAGCAGGGTCTAAAATAATAAACATGTTTTTTTTACGGTGGACGAAAGATTTAGGGGGTTACAAAAAAAAAAAATGTTTACAAGATACAAACACAAGGTAGTTTTACATTTACACAGTGCGCGAGTCAACAAATTAACCCTTAAAAAGAGAAAAATTGTATTAAAATTGTATTAACATGTTGGACTTTCATTGCATACAATTTTTTCCATATTTTAAATGAAGGATCAACCAGCTAAAACACAACTACACATGTACACCTGTTAGAGTTCTGGGCAGAACACATTGTGCCTCCGACGCCCTACCAGTGTTGAAACACTCCTCGCTAGTTGTACCATACACAAGTATCATTTCCAGTCTGTGTATCATTAGAGGAGGGTAACAAACACGCCTGCACCTGGTCGTCGAGTACCTTGTAATTGTTCCAAAAATGTGCAACATTGGCCGGGGCTGGCATACAGTTTGCTTTGTTAATACAAACTAATGAGTTGTGTTTTGTACATATGTATATTACAAAACCATGTCAATACCTTACAGGCCCAGCCTCAGCCAGAATATTCTTTACAGTACAGATTTGTTTACAAAGAATTTCATTTTTGTAAACAATCAAATAAAATCCTGAAAACATGACCTTCTGATTATGTTGGAACAATTACATTTAAATATTATTGTATGTACAGTTTTTCAGCATTGCTGTTTTCAAATACTTTAATATATTAATGTTGTATTCAACATAAAGCAATCAACATATGACCAGAAACACAAATGTTTCAATATTGTATTAACTGGAACAACCTAGTTTCAGCGACGAATGGTCCCAAATTATCATGATGACATCCAAAATAATTATACAAAATTCAAATACTGGAAACATTATTCATGTAAATTGAATGAATAATGAATATTCATGTGGCAAATCTCTCTCCAACATAGGTTTTACGTGATGATAATCACTATACTTTTTTTTAAATCAAGATAAAGTTAATGTAGAGGTCTGCCGTTAATTTTAGGTGGTCGGTGGCTCCAGTTGGACTCGTCTTTGTTTTCATTTGCAGTGTGATGGATTGCCTTGCTGGGGGTAACACTAACACTTTCTCTGCCTTGTTTATGGGGCAAAACAAACTTAATTGCATTTTAATCCAGTGACAAATGAAGTTGGTGACAACAAGCAATTCCACTTAGGATTTTGTTTACATTGGGAGAAGTGCATATATGTAAATAAGATTTTGGTTGATCAAGTGCAGCCTTTACCCCTGTCAGTTAGGTACTGATGCTGGCCGTTCTCGCTTCCTTCCTCATCTACTACCATACTATTCCCATTCTACTATGCAACACTTCCTTTTAGCTTGTACTGTACAGCCCATATCTTTCAAATCGGACAACCTACAGAACACCTATTTTGTCTATTCAATAAAACAAAAAATACTCTCTATTTTGATAGCTTTTTAAAACTCGGAGAATCTCGGATCTTTGAAAATTTCTGGCTGAAAGGTAAAACTATTTTTTTATAAATCTCAGTTATACTTACAGTTTTTGTAGAGTGTTGTTGACAGGAAAGACCCCTGGAACAATGTCAACGATCTGATTGTGGCTGAGTTCAAGAACTTTGAGCTGGGCCATGTGAGTGGTTAACTCCATGGCCAGAGTATGGATTCGGTTGTGATTTCTGTTGATGAAAAATTAAACTTTTAATCGTATGTTCAAGCATATTCTTCAGCGATTTATTAAAATTTATGGGACATATATATTTGAGTCCTGGACTCGTTTTATTAAAATTGGGACTCATCCAGATTCGGATGACCAACAATCTTTTAGTAATGAGACTTAACACTTGGTAAAGGATCTTCAAGTTTCACCTGAAAAAAAGACTTTTTAATAACACAAAATACAAATTTTTGAAATTTCATTATTTCAGTTTTGATCTGTTTTATTAATTGGTTTAAATTTAATCTGTTCATTTCATTCAACAAGAACTGATTGTAACAAAGTTAAATATAAAATAGTTTTCTCTTATTAAAGGGAAATATTTATTCATGATAACACTGCATGTTTTATCAGGACAAGATATCAAGGCAGGAGAGACAGACTGTCCTAAATTGCTATTAAAGCGGTCACATCTCTACATGATCCAGTATGGTATGGGGTTATCTCCCCTGTTAGGAAGGTGCAAGGTTATCTGCCCTGACCCTGTCGCCGAGATTGACAACTGTAAAATTGATGAATGGTAACTAACATCATAGTTGGCCTTCCTTCTGAAGTCCACATCAAACGTGTACATTTCAAACAAGGCTCGAGGACATTCAAATTTGCACTCTGTACAAATTTTAAACTCATGAAAAAAAAGTCAGATTTTTTGGATATATGCATTTCATCATTTCAAACATTCTGAGTTATACTTACAATTCCAAGGTGGTTAAAGATGTTAGGCCTTTTAACATAGGGACTTCTGTAAGCTTGTTGTGGTTAATTTTTCTGCAAAATGAGAAGACTTGTTTTAATAATTGTGTTTTAATAAAATATATGGAGGGAGGAAAAAATATTTTTAACAAACTAAATTATATTTGTTGATACTGTTTATTTTCACAATGTTCATTTTCAAAACTATTTGTAATGCTCAAAATTTCTTATACATTATGATATAATCTCATTAACCCATTCAACCCAGTATGTAGGGGAGAATGAGTTAATAGAATCTGAAGTATCAAACTTATATTTTTTGGGGACAGTACTAGTGGACACCATTTTAACCGTTTGAATATCTTTTTGCAACTGCCCTGGTAGTAGTTTACACATGATTTACAGCCTTGTGCAGTACATGATGTTTTAGCTTTGAGAGACATAAATCTGTCATCTTGACGTAACAAGCATGTCACCTCGCGTATCTACCTGTGAAGTGTTTACTGTGAGACTCACACACCAGGTGGCACTGTCTGACACCTCAATTAGCATGAGACTGCCACTGAGATATGGCCGGGAAAACACTACCTAACATTACATACCATTCAAACCAATTGCATCTAGTCTTTATCGGAACGATCAAGAAAATTGAATACCTTCTTTCACATCTGAAGAAATATCTTCAAAAATTCAATATTTTTACAAAAGAATCTACACTACAGGTACATAAGTATTGTGTGTACGATGTAAATAGAAAACTTTCTAAAAGTCAATACATTGAAGTTTTTCAGCCGATATGAATATTGTTCAACCACTTATATAACTTACAGTTGTTTCAAAGCCGGAAGGTGAAGAAAAACAGATTCATTCAAAAATCGTATTTCGTTGTTACTGAGGTCTCTGAAAAGATAAAAACAGAAGCATTGTACACAACAGATATTCATATAATAATTGAAAAGTAGATTGGGGGCCGGGGAGGAGGGAATATCTGTAAAAAAATATCAAGTGGTACAATGTACAAGGTAGATATTGTAATGGCTGTGCTCATATGCTAATCTACAAACATGATAAGAATGTACTCAGTGTTTTCATTTTCCAAATTTTACTGGAATACATGTTTCCATAAATTTGGGGTGAAAATTCTTCATTTTGGGAGAGAAATCTTTATTTTGGAGGGAAAGGCAATCTTTTGGCTAGGGGAAGGTTTTTAGGAACAAAACAAGGCAAATGAAAATCTTACTGGTTTTATATATATATACTATATTATATACCAAGCGGATCGCTCTGAAAATTTGACAACCTAAACTTGTCCACACTGTTGGAATTACTTCTTTGCCCCATATACCCGGTATATATATATACTTCCTTTGGATATAAATCTTGTTCAATTTTTTTCTCAGAAAATCAAACTTTAAATTTATGATCGTGTACGGATTCCAAAACCATAACAAACTTTTATTTTATTTAATCATTTTGTATAATTTTTGCCCATTGCAACCATCTGGATACTTGTTGCAATAATTTTCAAAATCTTGGTTCTTCAGCAAAACCTGTGACAACATATATACATATATGTATACCCTATAATCAGTGATCACCTGGTACATGTATTTATACTTATAAGTTTTACCTGCACAGGTGAGCAGTACATTCATCCTTTTAAAATTTCTTTTGTTCTGCAAAACTCACATGATAGATAAGTTGAAATTGAAGACCTAACAGTTTTTTTTACAACTATGAACTTTAGTATATATACTTTAAATGCCACATAAAAATGCTGTTGTTTGTTTTTTCCGAAAATCCCTGCTTTTTATGTTTGAATTTTGTAAATGTTTACGATGGTACATGCATTGATCTGTTGTTTAAAGGTACACAACAATTTGTCCAATTTTAAAAAAAATGAAAAATAAAATACAACATAATGTTGTTCTCAATTAGTAAGTATTAAAATTCTTAACTGAATAAAATTCTGTGAATTTATTTATCACAGACAAAAGAATAATTAGTATTATAATTTGATTTTGTATGCAAGACCATTCATGACGTAAATGGAATTTTATTGATGTCACTACAGGTGCCAACTTATCAGAAACTATGACAAAAAGTCATAAACATTTACAATATATGCCACCACTAAACTAATTAAACAATAGTCTAATTAATAGACATTAATTCCAATACAATTTCCTGCAATATAATTATTACATTTGCATGAATTGTCAAGCCCTAGCCATAACGTCATCTGACAACTTCACATGTGTAGCATCCCTTCTAACACAAGATCTTCCACCTTAGAGTAAAAAGATAAAAGATGAAAACTTGTCTCATTGGATCACTGACCATTTTTTTATTCTTTTTTATTTTTCTTTAAAAGGTTAAAAAGATTCATTTCTTTTAGCAGAGATATCAGATTTGACCATAAATCTACCACACTCTTTCATCCTGGACACAGGCCTATATGGGAACCTACAATTTGAAATGAATCGTGAACATCAGGTAGGGGACTTTGACGCCATGTTGGATTAAAGTACATAAAAGCTAACATTAAGCTGTGAGGGCCATAAATTGAAGAGGTAACAATCACCTGTGTCCCAAGTAAAACCTCCTTACCTACGGCATCAGGTGTCTTGTTAGCTTCCCTGTACTGCTTTCATAAACTTACACACAGAAAAATGTACCAACAAATTTACAATAGAATACCTCATCTTGGAAAATGTGTGTTAACACCCAAAAGAGTAGAACTAAAGAAATGGAAAAATCTGATTTTTTTCTATATTTGGAAAATATTGCATTCAAAAAATTATCAAACACAGCATTTTAAGTTGACCATACTAAGGACAAGTGGGGCCCTGTCCCACAGATGCCAGCACTGGGCTTTTACATGGGTAGGGTTACCCGCTAACTATTCTACTGGTAACATTTACAAAGCCCTGCCTTGTAATAGCATTTTTTGTAGCCTCTCGGGTACAGCGAAATTGTAATTCGATCAACATCGTAATCTGGAATTAAATAATTTATCAACATTTGTTTGCAACTGAAGGTTTTTTAACAACCATCAGCGGTAAAGGTAGTCACTGACCATGCATAATGTGAAGTAACAACCCTCTACTGACAAGGCCTAGCCTGGTATTATATACACCATGACCACCCTTCACAGCACAACCTGGGACCCAGTCAAGCCTGGTACCACAAACCACCCTTAGCCCATACAATTGGGCCTTGCCTAGAATATACCTACTGGAACATACTGGTATCAAACATAGCTCACTTTAAGTCTATAAGGCCAAACAATATATATATCTGGTGTTTCCAGTAGCTCTACCTACCATAATTATATGTGCCTACCCTACACTTTTGACGGTAATGTCTAACTCATTCACCCCTGAAGACACATTTTGACTTTTCCAATTCAAAGATTGGAATAGTTCATTATGAAATTTCAGGGGTGAACGAGATAAAGAACCACTGTTGAAGTCCAGTTCACTCTCCTATATAAACCATAAACAATTATTTGTTAAAATAAAATTAGTTACCTATAGCTACCTACCCTCGGCTTTTCCAACATGCTACACGGCACATTGTTTTGTTTTGCCTTACTGATCGCGCATTATGCTTTAGTCTTCAAATAACACTGTAATGATAGTGCCTACTGTACTTGTAGAGCTCTATCACATGCTAGTTACCTGGCACTGCACGTGGCACCACCAATAACTGGTCAAAGAGCCTTGTATCACAGCCCAAATACAGCGAAATAGAAATATTCATGGATTCTCAAAAGACAGAATATGTTTTTAGATGATGATGCTTATATTTAAATAATTTTTGACAATAATTTTAATTTAAACAGCAGAAAATGAAAGTGATTTATAAAGATGCATTTATTTTTACTTTCGTCAGCTGTAACGATGCAGATTATGACAGGGTTACACCTGACAGTGATAAAACATGATTTGTTATCATTTACAGACATTCATCAAAATTCAAGCAGTTCATTCATCAACACTTGCTTAATAAATAATATCTCCCTTTTCTTGGAATATATATATATAAGTACATATATATTTTTGGCATTCAAACTATACATGTAGATATTTTGTGTTTTATTGACAGCGTTGGGACTGGCAGGTTGATAATCAATGTAAGAGTTAAAGAGGTGTAGGACCTATCTCCTGAGTGTCCTGAATTCTTTGGGAGATTACTTATCTCCCCACACCAGAGGGTGTGGTAAACATATGTCTCTATGGTACTGAACAATGGACAGTTAGCTTACCACAACACCTCACCTTCAAATTATCAATATTTTTTAGGTATTTGTCGCCCTTTGGAAAAGCTACAGAAATGCCTTTTTTTTTAATTAAATCAATCACAGGGATTTTAAATAAACTCTTATAGTGATCAAATAATCCTCTATTGCCATTGTGTTATGGTTTTAGCTGGTCCGTGATGCGTCGGGATACCTGCAGCCACACGGTACTTAAGCTTGCAGGTACCCAGTATAGGGATGTCTGGATCAGATCAACATTTTTTTGGCTTCCAACAAAACAAAAAGAACAAAAGAAGGCAAGTATGTACTAGTGTCATTTCTGTAGTAGGTAGATAGGTGACATTTAGGTTAGGCTAGCTCTTCAGTATGTGGTATATATATAATCCAGTCCACTCCAGGCCACCACACACTGCACACATGTATACTAACTACACCATCAACTTTCTCATGCTTGGTACTCAAATCTTTTTTGCTTTTCATATATATTTGAATGAAAATGCAATTTCTCTTTCCCAAGAATTTTATAAGACTGCTTGTTGATTTTTTTTCCCTATTTTTCCAATGGAATGTTATTTAGTCACTTTTTTTATTGAGTATATAATTATAAAATATAATCTAAATGAAGAGTTTTCAAACAAAATATTTCTTAATAACCTTGAGGTAAATTTCTGAAATATATAATTACAGTTGAAAATTGACTTATCTCACAATCTATACATTAACATATTGTGTTTAAATGATAGTTATATATTATAAAAAAAACTTGCAATATCTGTAGTCTAGATCAATTATCTAAAACACTACCATCAAAAATCAATATTATAAAATCATATACATTTATGTGTAAAACCCCTACCAACATATTCTCTAGTCTAGAAGATAAAAGATCATGTGCACATTTATAGAAACCTATACCAAATCCAGAATGGAAGAAATCCTGTTATAAATTAGTAAAAAGGAAATAAAAGATCACCATGAAAGACAAAATAAACATTGCTATGAATTTTCAACAGCTAGATAAACACTTAAATTAGCATGAAATTCTACCGTTCAACTAGGAAATGTATATTTCAGTAACCATGACAATAGAAACGGCATCCCGATGAATCTTTGGAATTTCATTAAATCTCAATCTCGGCATCAATAAGGGCCTTAGTCATGTGCAGTCGATTGGTTTTTCATTACACTGGGATTGTGCCTCCATCGAGGCAATCGCAGCCTTTGAGCCTTTTATATATCTCGCAACGTACATCAAATAAAATGTATCGTTCACTTCATCTCACGTTCAACAGAGCTGGTATACAAGTAGTTGTCCCGTCAACCTGTACCAGTCTAAAATGGCCATGTCTGAGGAAACCGTCAATTGTACGAATGAAAAATGAATAAAACATCTTGATCTAGTGGAGCATTTCATGCTTTACTAAGCTACATAAACAAATAATTTTTTTCATTAAAATGTTCAAAATTTATTTTTGAAAAATCCCCATGTATGTGTACACCTGAATGACCCAGGTGTCAGGGTTGTTTACGAAGAACGTCCTCGGATCAAAGCACTGCAATCAGTGTTATTAATGCTTTCCCCCACTACAACACCTTGCTGTGACCCGGATCAAAGGCCCACAATGCTAGCCTATAT